TGCCTATTATCATACTAATAATAGTGGTTGGCTTTATTTTCTAGATATGATCGGGACGGGGAACCATCACAGCTAGCCCCTGTAGATGTTTTTGTCAGTACAGTGGATCCACTCAAAGAGCCTCCGCTTATCACAGCGAACACTGTCTTGTCAATCCTTGCAGTCGATTACCCTGTGGACAAAGTAGCTTGCTATGTTTCAGATGATGGCTCAGCTATGTTGACTTTTGAAGCCCTCTCTGAAACTGCAGAGTTTGCGAGGAAGTGGGTGCCTTTCTGCAAGAAGCACAACATTGAGCCTAGAGCTCCTGAGTTTTATTTTGCTCAAAAGATTGATTACCTAAAGGATAAGATACAGCCTTCTTTTGTGAAGGAGCGCCGTGCAATGAAGGTCAGTGTAAAGATACATAATTATGCTTAGGTGTGTGTTATTTTGTTGGGTATATATTAAATGTTTTCTTGTGAAGTTCTTTAATTGTCGCATAAGTTTTCTGACACTTATAGATTTTACAATTTTAGTTTTATGTTTTTGGTCTGGCTATTGACGTGTTTAGGTTAAATTTGGGTGTTAACCTAGTATTAGATTTCTTTCAACATGATGCAAGTGCAGTTTATACCTTGAGATGAATGGAATGGTGGTAAAATATAAGACTATTTGAATTGGGGATGACATACAAAACAAAAATTTAATCAGTAAAGTATCATGTGCCTTGTGAAGTATAGTTGCATGGATCTATTAAAATAGTTATTAGGACATAAGGGATATGTGGATGATTTCTTAAGTAAATGCAATTTTTGTGGGGATTTCTTGGTAAGCCTTGTGCCAAACAGTCCATGCAGTCAGTCTTTTCAGAAAATAAATAAATGAGGAAACAAGTCCCCAGATCGCATCAAGAGAGTGCCAACCCAAGTACAAGGCAAATTTTTAGAATATGTGATCAATAAGCGATTTCTCTTATACTTGCTGCTTCCTATTAAACTGGAAAAAAGAATTGTCTGCCACATTTTTTAACATTGAAAAGGTGAAATTTTCTTTCAACAGAGAGAATATGAAGAATTCAAGGTGCGGATCAATGCCCTTGTTGCCAAAGCTCAGAAAATGCCCGAAGAAGGTTGGACAATGCAGGATGGTACACCATGGCCTGGAAATAATCCTAGAGATCATCCAGGAATGATACAGGTTTTATCCTGCTACCCAGTCGTGTTTATATAAATTGGCTCTTTGATTTTCTTTATTGTCATGGATCTTTTCATTTTCTAATGTATTTTTTGTGAAATGACAGGTGTTTTTAGGCCACAGTGGAGGGCTTGACACTGATGGAAATGAGCTACCTCGTCTTATCTATGTTTCTCGTGAGAAGCGACCAGGCTTCCAACACCACAAGAAAGCTGGAGCTATGAATGCTTTGGTATGCCATTTTTAGCCCTTTTTCAGTTTCACCATGTTCTCTCTTAAGCTGTCTCAGATGTCCTCCTTTTTCTTTTGGGGGGCTCTCTGTATATTATGAATGCATTATTTAACCAAAGTGTTTTAAAGCATAATATTTATGGTTAGATGCATACCTTTAAACCTGCCATAGTCCCTTTGCTGGATATTCCTTACTGAGGTATGTGTCGCATAGACGTCTGGGTTAGTTTTACATCAGGAATATCATTTAAGATCTTTGGCACATGCAACTTGGTAGGGCTAGAACTAATCTAGTTATCTTTTGATTTGCAGATTCGAGTTTCAGCTGTCCTTACCAATGGGGCATTTTTGTTGAATGTCGATTGTGATCACTACTTCAACAACAGTAAAGCTCTTAAAGAAGCAATGTGCTTCTTGATGGATCCCGTCCTTGGAAAGAAGACATGCTATGTGCAGTTCCCACAACGTTTTGATGGCATTGATTTCCATGATCGATATGCCAATAGGAATATTGTGTTCTTTGATGTATGGCTCACTTAATTTGTCCTTGGGATAGAATTTATTTCCAAGTACTAATTAGTTCATGGAGAATGGTAGTTCATTTTGCACTTGAATTTTGCAGATTAACTTGAAAGGGTTGGATGGCATCCAAGGTCCAGTCTATGTGGGAACTGGCTGTTGTTTCAACAGGCAAGCTCTATATGGGTATGATCCAGTTTTGACAGAAGCTGATTTGGAACCAAATATTATTGTTAAGAGTTGTTGTGGTTCAAGAAAGAAGGGAAAGAGTGGAAATAAGAAATACATTGACAAGAAAAGGGCAGCTAAGAGAACAGAGTCCACCATCCCTATTTTCAATATGGAAGACATTGAGGATGGTGTTGAAGGTAGGCTTTCATCAAAATCTACTCTATTATTTTCTGATTATTATTTCCAATTGATTTTGATTTGCTCTGCACCAGCATTAGGGCCTATCAATTTGGTTTATTCATGAAATAATGTGAGGACTTCCCATTTCTGCATGGCTGCTACAAATATACATTATTTAGTGTTTCTCCTGCATCAACATTGTTCAAGAACCAAGATCACTTGAAAAGTCTGTAGTTTAAAAATTATGTTTAATACTGGATGTTCCATTTTGATAAGTTGAGGATGAAGACGAAATGAATGACCAGTAGTGTTAGAATGCCCAAGCTCTGTGTGGTGTTGACTTCATTTATTGTGTTCTGCAGGATATGATGATGAAAGGTCTCTTCTCATGTCTCAGAAGAGCTTAGAGAAGCGATTTGGTCAGTCCCCGGTATTTATTGCAGCTACCTTCATGGAACAAGGAGGCATTCCACCATCAACCAATCCTGCAACTCTTTTAAAAGAAGCAATCCATGTTATTAGTTGTGGATATGAGGACAAGACCGAATGGGGCAAAGAGGTCAGTGAAGTACCATGGGCTTTAATAGAATCTAAGCCAGCATCTCTTTTTATGTGCATTAACTTAGTCTCATTTTTCCTGCCACCAGATTGGATGGATTTATGGTTCTGTTACAGAAGATATTTTGACTGGGTTTAAGATGCATGCTCGTGGGTGGATATCAATTTATTGCATGCCTCCTCGTCCAGCATTTAAGGGGTCTGCTCCTATCAATCTTTCTGACCGTTTGAACCAGGTTCTTCGATGGGCCTTGGGTTCTATTGAGATTTTGCTGAGCAGGCATTGCCCCATATGGTATGGTTACAATGGAAGGTTGAAGCTTCTGGAGAGATTGGCATACATTAACACCATTGTTTACCCCCTTACCTCAATTCCTTTGCTTGCTTACTGTATGCTTCCGGCCTTTTGCCTTCTGACAGGAAAATTTATCATTCCTGAGGTAAGTGATTATTATAGCTTCACTTTTTGCTTAGAATGGGCTTTTCTCTTACATCCCTAACCCTGCAATCCTCTAAAAATTTTTTCCTCCCAATATAGTAGAAGCCACCGGGACTTACGTTTTGCCTACAATTTTTATGCAGATAAGCAACTTTGCTAGCATGTGGTTCATTCTCCTTTTCGTCTCCATTTTCGCCACTGGAATACTTGAGCTTAGGTGGAGTGGTGTCAGTATTGAAGATTGGTGGAGAAATGAACAATTCTGGGTCATCGGTGGGACATCAGCTCATCTCTTTGCTGTGTTCCAGGGTCTTCTGAAAGTGCTTGCTGGAATTGACACCAACTTTACTGTCACTTCAAAGGCATCTGATGATGATGGAGAATTTGCAGAGCTTTATGTTTTCAAATGGACATCCCTTCTCATCCCTCCAACCACGGTACTAATTGTGAACCTGGTGGGTATTGTGGCTGGTGTATCTTATGCGATAAACAGTGGCTACCAATCCTGGGGTCCACTTTTTGGCAAGCTATTCTTTGCCATATGGGTTATTGCCCATTTGTATCCGTTCTTGAAGGGTTTGTTGGGTCGTCAAAATCGTACCCCTACAATTGTCATCGTGTGGTCTATTCTTCTAGCTTCAATCTTCTCCTTGCTGTGGGTGCGGATCGACCCCTTCACCTCTGATGCTGCAAAATCTGCTGCTAATGGTCAATGTGGCATCAACTGTTAGTTTTATTTTGGGATTATTTTGTTGTGGTAAAATCTGTCTCTCCTTCAAGTTGGCTATCGTGTATATAACAAAGGAAATTAAGATGTTACAGCCATATGCATGATATAAGTTATGACTGTATGTCTCAATGGATTTATATATTATGACAGATGGACATAAGACCAAGAACTCTATATCATCTGTTCACTTTCATTCTTCTGCAAGGCGTTGCTGATGGTCTAAAGATGTTTTCGTGGTGCGGACCCAAGTTTGACCTTGATGTTGTGTAGTCCTATAATTTTTATACTTTCCTTTTTGCGCAGGGCATGTAGAGATATTTATCATCCAGTGCTATGAAAGGGACTTATGTTGTTGTTCTTTTGTACTTCAGTGTCATGTTGGAAATTTTTATTAGATCATCCTCATATGGTAATAAAAATATCCTGATGTAAGTTTGGATTCCATTGAAATGTCATGATGTTCTAAATCTTAAATTGGATGCTCTTAAGCTTGATGCCAAATTTATTATTTAGTTAAAATAATTGCAAAAAGAAAAAAATAAGTTGGATGCTAAATTTGGCCATTGCATACTTTGGAAAAGAGAGAAATTGCCTAGCTAATTGCATACACAGTTTTCACTTGAGCAGCTTAATTAGGTTATTCTGCATGGTCTTTCCTGGAATTGAATGTAGCCCACCAAGTAATTTTACACATGCGGTTTGAATGGGATTCACTTATGCCCATTGCCTTTAAAGAGTCCTCAACCCATGAATGTGTAATTACATTCCCATTATTCCAATTATACAGTTATGAAATTTTAATTATATGTGTATTTTCTTATCCAATGGGCCCCATAATTTGACAGTTATTTTTCTGTTATTTTGTATTTTCATTTTCCTTGGAAAGAGTCTTAGTCAGTCCAGGCCCATAAAACGGAATCCAAAACAAATGAAACGACGCCGTATAAGTGCAAAACTCGAAAGCAGGCAAAAACCCCCAATAAAGAAGAGTTGGGAGACTGGTGAGGAGGGCTGAATTCAAGGGTTTTTGAGCCTTAAAGTGAAAGCCTCCTAGACCTACTCCTCCTCCTCCTCCTCCATTTGCTTGGTGAGCAGATTGATAAATAATTAGGGTTTTTTTTTTCTCTTCGAAGAAGAAGAATGGAGGGGATAACCGAGGGAGTGAACAACTTGAACATCACGGATTCATCAGCTTCCAACAAGAAGAACCGTATCCAAGTCTCCAATACCAAAAAGCCCCTCTTCTTCTACGTTAATCTCGCCAAGGTCCACTCTCCGTTTCCTTTCCTTTCCTTTTTTTTTTTTCTTTTTCTGGGTTTTTCTCAAATCTCTCTCTTTCTCTTGCTGATTTGTTTCCCCGCTAGGAAAGTTCTAGCACTATTATTTTTAAGTATGTTATTACTGTACGCTAACTTTTATTTTATGAATTTGGGTTTTCATCAATTTTTTAACTGTACTAGGATAATTTTTTGCCATTCTGTTTCATTGCTGGATGTTTATCTTCTTAATGCGAAATTCCCATGTTTGTGTGTGTGTTTTCTTAAATAGAATAAAAAGAATAAAATTAAAAAAAAAAAACAGATTCTGCTTAGTTATTTAAGCAATTTTTTGCTCCATTTTGGCAGAGGTACATGCAGCAACACAATGAGGTGGAACTATCTGCTCTTGGAATGGGTATGCTTTCTTTTCTCCTTGTGCACTTTCATTCTATTTCAAATATGCTTGCTTTAGTAATTTTTTTGGAGGGGTTTACTGAAAGTAGCGACTATTTAGATGCTCTTGTCCCTATGAATTATGGAATTCGGGTGTTTTTTGGATTTCTTATTAGAAGTTATCTATTTAGGAGGGCGAAATCTGTCATATACGTTGATAGGTTCAACTCTCAGTGACTAACACATCATGGGTGCCATGCATTCTTTTACTCTCTTTAGCTTTATGATTGCAATGTTAACCTGAAGAACAAAAAGACCATTTTCTTTTCTAACCCTGAGGTTGAAATAAAATGTTACCTTGACATGCAGACATGGTATGTGTACATTGTTTGTGTTATGTAAATTATGGATGTGTTTGGAATGTTGGAATACATATTGTTTAATTATTTTTTTTCCTTGCCTTTCTTTACAACTTGCATTTAAATTCTGTCTACAGCTATTGCTACAGTTGTTACCATTGCTGAGATATTGAAGAACAATGGGCTGGCTGTTGAGAAGAGTGAGATTCTAACCCTTAACGAGATTTATTTTAGCTTTCATCTCGTCTTGAGAACTCAAACTTACTATAATGTTATATATGCATCATAACCAGAAATCATGACTTCTACTGTTGACATGAGAGAGGAATCAGGAGGACGACCTGTTCAAAAAGCAAAAGTAAGTTGCCGATACAATATTTAGTGTTTAATTTTAAGTTACATTCATCATGTGGCATATTAGACTGACCTCAATGCTTTCATAAACAGAAGCTCTACGCTTTTGTATGTGAGTCTGTAAGACCAATTAAATATAGGGAGATTATGAACTTGGGATTTGGTTGTTGTGAGGTGATGAGACATTACTTCTGTTAATTGGTGGGATAGAAAAATAAGATAAAAACAGAAAATTATTATTATTACTATTTCGTATATGCCCAGTCAAACCCACTCAATGGTGTGATATTGTTATCCGTAGGAGTTGGCGGGTGTTCTGTCCCTTAGTCATGGCCTCCTTGGGAACTGGGATTGAAATATTCACTTGTAATTGATAATCGATTTCATTATATTTAGCTGTTTGATCGGATTAAAAGTTTTAGGCCCTATTAGTTGGAATAATTTCTGTTGATTTTCAAGTATGTTCAGTTGTTCACACCTATACCACTACCCATATGTCAAAGGTGCTGTCACTGTTTAACCTGCTTAGTTTAGTGTAGAGGAATAGTTCTGATAGGGGTATATTATTGTACGAGTATGAAAGGCAGGTGAGTTACTATGTTGGTATAGTTAAAGTCTTAATGTACCTGTTTGGTCCATTTTTAATCACGTAGCTCGTATTAATTTTTTTCTTGAAATGGTTAAACTTAACTCAAGATTGAGAGGCTGACAGCATGGAGTTTATAATTTTGTAGATTGAAATACTGCTGGGGAAGTCAGAGAAGTTTGATGAGTTAATGGCAGCTGCTGCGGAGGAAGTCTTAGATAATGAGGAGCAGGGCTAAAGATGGAGATGATCCCTTAATTATAGCTTGTGTTACTTGATTGTGAGCATCTTTAACAGTTCTTTTCTTGATTGGTGTATGGAGTGAAGCTTACTAGCTGTGATGATATTTTTAGGAATTTTTGTAAAATACTATGGCCTCTTTGTTATTCAAAATTCAAAATTTGTTGCTAATCCCCTGCTTACTTAGTTGAACATTTGAAAAACATTTGCCTTATGTTTAGATAATTTACAGACGTTGTCTTCTTGTTCCTATCTTTTATCCATGTTTGGAAACATTTTCTCCCTCCAAATAATATGATATATCTCTATATCTTAGCAATGGAGTATCGGGTCGTCAAATACTATGGGGAAGCTACATAAGTTTTATTTTGAATTATAGTAACCACAATTTTTTTCCCTAAAGGCAAATTGGCGTTTTTTAGGAAGCTATTTCCTTAAAACGTTCTGGTAAAAGAAATTGATTAAATGTTTAATTTGAGGTTAAATTTTTTGAGTTTTTATCAATTTAGAGTTAAATGTTTTAATTGTAACAATCAATAGTTAAACATTTTCTGTTGACTCGAAAGGATAAAATATGGAAGAGTAGTTTTATCATAAAGTTTTTTTTATCATGATGTATAATAACTAAATGTTCAACATAGTGTAACAATTAAATCTTCAACATGATATATAATAACTAAATCTTCGATGTGACGTGTAATAATTAAATAACATATAATGATTATATTTTTCAATATAACATATAATAATAATTAAAATTTTAATATAACATATAATAATTATATTTTCAACAAAATTTTTTATCACATGTGATACACGTTTCATTTACTTGTCAACTTAACCCTTAATTGTAAGAAATCGAAAACATTTGACACTTAATTGTTACAATTAAAACGTTTAACTTTTAATTAAAAAAGTGCCTAAACATTTATTCCCAATTTAAACATTTAGCCAAAAAAGTCCTAATATGTTAGCTTTTCATATGTTAACTTTTTTTTTTTGTTTTCAATTCTTGTTATCTTAATTCTTTCATAATCTTATTTATTTCTAATTAACTTAAAAAACTATTAGTACAAGATAATGATGGAAATTTCATATTTTTCACACCAGTTTTTCCTTCTCCTGAATTTTGTTTCTTTGACATAATATTCAAAAAAAATTATGAACTATTCAAAATTTAAATAAATTTTTATTTTTTTATTACATTTAATCAAAATTTTATTTTTTTTATATTGAATTAAATAATTTAAGATCAAAATATTATTTATCATTTTATATACACATAAAGTTGATGTAGTGCTGACAAGTAAAAATATACACAATCATATCATTATATCATATTAAATGTTCACGTGACAAAATATTTACTCAACTCTTACAGAAAATTATTTAAATTAATATAAAAATATAAAAAATATATAAATTTTTTAAAATAATTTAAAACTTTTTTTAGGTATTATACCCTTTAGGGGTGACGATCTCCCTCCACACGCACACAAGCACACAGTCAATGTTAATGTTGTTCTGTTCCCTTAAATTTTTGTGAGAAACGTTGCTGCAACTGCAAAAGAGGCGAAGGGCAACCACGTGGGGCTGGGTATTGGCGGTCAGTTGTCCATTTCTGCTGGCCATGCAGATGATGACATTTTGAAGCCAATGAGACCTTAAACCGAATAATAATAATAATAATAATGATAATAATATCCTTCACATCCACCATCGGTGAGGAAGTCATGGTAGCATGAACATTGATGAAAGTGTTTTTACGAAAGGTGAAAAAGGTCGTGGTGATTATAGCTAGCACGTCCAAGATGCTCCTATATTTCCATTGCTGTCTCGCTTCGAGGCAAGTAATGCAGTGAATTAAACAGTAAAATGTTGAAGAGTAACAATTTCTGTACATACTGGAAAACATGTATGGCAGAAAAAGAAAAAAAAAAGGATCAAGAGTAACCCACTTAAACAAGTTCTAAACAGCACCCAAAAAGTCTCTCATTCTTCAAATATAACTTTATCTGTCTCATTTTCAAGGCCAATGAAAACTGTATGCCAGTTAAGTTACTTTCGATATCATCTCTAAACTTGAAAAAGCCGCTGCCTGAACCGAGCCCTCAACCAAAAAAAAAAAAAAACAAAATTCAGCTGGAGAAAGTATATGAAAAAAAAAGGTCAACCTAAAATGTAAGCCAGCTCATTCCTCTGATCCAAAAGATGAGTTTAATCCCTTGGACGAGATATCCTATGCTTCCTCATCTTTCTCTACAAGTATCCTTTTGCATGCTTCATAGCACATGAAGGAAATCCCAGCAGCAGGTACCAACTTCATGCAACTAGGACCCAAACCTTTATATAGACCATGAATCCCTTCTTGTTCAAGAATGCTTGAGAGTGCATGCAGCACATGCTTGTAGACCTGTCTTCCATTGAGAGCTCCAACCTGCATGTGCTTGCGAGCCACCTCAAGTGGGAAAGTTGCACTACTTGAAATAGCCCCAGCTAGAGATCCAATTAAAAGGGTTTCAATATTGCCGATTTTCTCCTCCTTGAAAACTTTCCTGTACACTTTCCGTAAAGTATCGTATGCAAAATAATTAGCGGCAGCATATGGAATTACTCCAATGAGACTAGGAGCAAGGCCTCTATAAAGTTCAGCAGGGCCCTCCTTTTGCAGTATTTTTAAGAAAGCATCAACTATACCATCATACATATTTTTCTGAAAAATTAGCAAATCTTGGATGTTAGTGGAAAAATACCATTTTTACTCAGTGAATTTCAAAATATAGATTGCCTTTACCTCAATGGTTAATCGAGTCTTAACTAGCTCAAGAGGATAGGTGCACAAAGTTGAGCTGACTCCAGCACAAGCCCCTGCAATTAATGAGGCAGGAATGGGAACCTTTGGTTCTTCCCCAGGTTTGGGAGACAACTGCTTATTCACGGTATCAAAAGCAAACAGCTGCAGATAATGAAGTTCAGGCATGGGGAATTAGTATTTGAACATGTTAGGAAAGATGATTACAACATAGGATCCTAATATCTCGAAAGATGTAGCAAAGTTTCTCCGTTACCATCTTGTTGGCCAATTGACTTAAAACAAGAAAAAATTCATTCACAATGGCTCAATTCTTGTGTACTGACAAAGGCCTTCTGTTATTTTCTTTTTAAATGGTACTGAGATAACACATAAAAAGGAGCAAAGACTGGATATAGTGCAATATTTAATTGCTTTTATTAGTGAAGCAGACAAGATATTGCATTCATTTGATACATAGCAAGTATGAAACTACCAACAAGCCAACAACCAAACACCCCTCTGGCTAATGATAAAAAGAAGAATGCAAGCATGAGCTCTGAGAAAAGCTTGCTTCAAACCTATTTATGAATTCATGCAACAAGCTCCAACCAGATAATTGGGTTTAGGAATTAAATTACAAAAGCATAACCAATGATGATAAAATAGTAAGAAGCATAGAACTAATCACAGCAATTTTCACCAACAAGTGATATGTAAAAAGGGGTAATGGTCAATTTGGCCATTGTGGTTAAGAAAATGTCTTATGCGATACTTGTACTAAAAAAATTTTTAACGTGGTAACCAAACTTTTATTTCGTGAAACAATCTACTCCAACCCATAGCGCCACTAACAAAACCTATCGACATGACCATCCACCATATATGAAACACAGCCAAATGAATGGCACATCACCTACTGGGGTCATCTCAATTTTACTGCATGATGACATGTGTACCACATGGCACACACATGACAGTCACATGTCGTATAATTACTTGTCCCTCTCTTCGGGGGAAATTTATTGGCTGGTTTTAGGGTTTAAAAAACATCAAAACCAAGAGCTGATCCTGAAAAGCCCTAATTTTCGTAGATCTCTTCCTTCTTCCACAGAAAATCCCCCAAAAGAAAGAAAAATGAAAATGAAATGTAGAAAAAAGGTGGTCACTGCAAACAAGAAAGGCTAGGAGATTCAATTGGGTTTACGAGTTAATTCGATTGCCACCAAGAGATTCAAATGGTTTTTCCCAACCCTACTACACTCACTTGATTTGCTTTTCTTTAAAGCTTTCCTTTTTTTTCTTGATCTCTTGCAGAAGGCACTCAGACTCCAATTCTGGTGATAGTCAAATCTCCAAGCTTTTCTTGCAAGATCAAATCGAGTGAGTCTAGTGGGGCTGGGAAAACCTAATCAAATCTCCTAGTGGTAGTCGAATAACCTTGTACAGCCACATAAGCAAAAGGGTGGGAGGGAGCAACAATTTTATGACACGAGGGAACCACGTGTTTGCATGTGACATCCACATAAGCAAATTGAGATGACCCTAATGGCTAAGATGGCATTTTTGGTCATGTGTTAGATTTTGATTGGTTGCCTGCATCGTCATCAAGTTTCATTAATGATGTTATGGGTTGGAGTAGATCGTTACATGGAATAAGGGTTTAGGTACCGCATTGAACAGTGTTTTAGTATAAATACTACATTAGACATTTTCTTAAACGACAAGGGCCAAATAGGATATCATCATTAAAAATGACAACAATAATTGCTTTGTCCACCTGTTCCATTTGTTAACGAGTTTATTCTTGAGAAAGATAAGAATCAGTTAGAAATTAGCAGTAGAAGAAGATGACATATAAAGGCTTAAAATTTAGAAACCAATCATAGTACACCATTTGAAAATGGAAAAAAAAAAAAAAAGACATTCCCTGATGCTTTGCTCTCAGGGTGCCACAATTTTCCACCCACTATATTTACTGTTTCAAGGTTGTGTCAACACAAAGTGCTTCCCTAAAGGATCAATGGCTGATGTTCTTTATCAAATTTCTTAGACAAGGCAAATGGAGCTCTGTTTCACTATCCACTTAGAAAACTACCACTCTGATGTAATAAAGGTGGCAATCTATAACTTTTCTTGAACAGAGAGCCTCATTGTTAAAATGAAATTATAAAGAAACGCCAATACAACAATGAAGTATAAATTTGCAACTGCAATACGTCAGTTCACAACCACTAGAAAAAACAAGATATGCAGTTTGACACAATAAAAAACAAGCGAAAAGGCTGACATCAGGAAAACAGAAGCTAAAAATGTGCATGTTAAGTATACAAGTGCATTACATAATAGAGAACAAACAATACTAATTTGACTCATTCGCATTCAAAAAAACCTAGTGATGAGTATATATATGAACCAAAAAACACTAAAGCCAAAAGAACACCACAAAGCTCAAAAGCAAGAAATTGATCAACCAACATACTTAATAGTATCTAGTATCACAAAACCATAAACAAACAGAATTAAATTCATAAAAACGCAATAAGAATTCATGGATTAAATACCTCTATCGCCTTGCTAGGTGCAACTCGAATCACATTAACCAGATTGCCCCTAAACAACCCTTTCCATCCATCAGTCTGCATTATATTATGGAACACCTCAGTTGTAGAATTCCCACTAGTCCCAACCATCAAATGCGTCCTTATTGTCTCCAATGGCGCAACGCAGGTCCTTGAAACCGCCCCCGCTATGGCACCGCTTATTAACCTTCTTAATGAAGGATTAGAAACCTTAATTTTCAGTTTTAAGCCAACTTTCTTCTTCTTCTTCAAAGCTACTTCACCTTCCGGTACTCCAACAACCCGAATTTCCTCTTGTGATGGTAAATATTTCACAAACAAATCGGAAAATGGAGCTTTGATTCCACCATTGTCACGGGGATTTGGGGAGTTTGGTGAAACGCCAAATCCCATTCCCATTTGACCAACGCTTGCAAATAAGCCACCTGGATATAAGTGATTCCGTTCGAGACTCCATTCAGACCCCAAATCAGATATAGAGAAAAAGCCATCTTTTTTATCATCAAACAATTGAATTCCTCTCTTGCCCATGATTTTGAAAACTTTTAAAAAAATTAAAAAACGAAAAAACAAACGGTTTTTTCCCTAGGGTTTATTGAATATCAAAATCCGTTTTTGTCATCGTTTCAAGAGAATTGAGAGTGTTTTCTACACTAAGATTCGATTTCGAACAAATGGGTGCCTAAAAAATCTACTTTTGAGGTATAGGTACAAGAGAAAATCAAGATTTTTTGAAAAATCCAAAGAGATGAGGCGATGAAAACAAGAAACAAAGCCTTATAATGAAAGAAAACGAAAAGAAAAAAGGAAGAGAGAAGAGAGGAGGGTAGGTGAATGAATCTGATTCTCTCTGGCTTATTTTTTTTCCTCCTTCTCTCCTAAAAGACAATGACTCTGGACTCAGGACCGTGTGGGTGTCCAAAGGTGTTATATATATAGTAGGGTTACCTTGGTTTGGTGGGTTAGGAGTTTGGAAGGAAGGTGTTAGGTGTTTATTGTGCTTCCAACAATGGGAGTGAACGTGAAGGTGGCCTCCTCTCTGCTCTTCTGCTGCTTTGGAGATTTAAGTAATTTCAATGTTCTTTGAATATTGGTTTTTTTTGGGAACTTGGACTATCGATGCACGTAAGTTTTTAATATTTTTGCATTGATTTTTGCATTGGAATTATAAAATTTTATACGACCCACAAGGCCAAGGCCGCCCCTGAATTGATTATCCACTTTCGAAAATATAGACAAATTTACTTTCCAGTCAGCACTCAAAACCACTCAATTCCACAAGCCAAGCAGGAAGGATCTTCTGCAGATGCTGGCTTTGTTTGTCATTTATCTCTGGGCGTTTTTATTAAACGTAAGCCCAACAGAGGAAAGCCCATTTTCCAACTTTAGCAGTTGGCCCAGTACTTCAATTTCTCCGCTCATGTATTATATTTTAACCTACCAGACAAAAAAATTTTAAATTATTAAACAAATTTAAATAAATTTTTATTCTTTTATTACGCAAAATCTAAGTTATTGTATTTTTATTTTTGATCAAATAAATTTTTATAATTAACGGTTGAATATCTCTGGTCAATTTTTATATCATAAAATATATTAATATATTATAATAAATAATGATATAATTATATAATATTTTTAATTTTTATTTAACATCACGTGAGTATAAAATAATAAATATCATTATAATTAATATCATTTAGTCAACTGTTATTTGATTAAATATAAAAGAAATTTATTTAAAAATTTTTAAAATAATTCAAAAACCTTTTAAAATATTATGTTATATATATATATATATATATATTAGATTTTAGTTGACTTTTACCTATACATTCCCTCACCAAGTTTTCGCATCTCATCAACAATATATAGGGATGTATAAAACTGGAAAGGGGATTTGTTTTTGTAGACAGAGCGCTTGAATAACGAAATCAATCCCCCCTAATAAATAATTAATGGACACTGGAACATCTATCTTCCCGAGATTGAGGCTTGGATTCTAATAAGTCAAAAAAGTGAGGGAGAAAGAAGGGACAGAAAAGGAAAGATGATACTATTTCAGGACTACATTAGTATCAAGCATCAACACTTTGTTGAAAGTTAGGCATTTTCTCTGAGGTTTCTTTCCTGCCACGGTTCGGTCAACTTTGTCGTGTCCCTGCAAATTTGAAACAGCAAAAACACGTGCGGACACCTGCTGCTGTGGCTGGGAAGTGGTTGGATGCTGTCCTGTAATGCAATCTTCAAATGTAAATAGACTTTTGTTATATTTTTGTGTTAATGATATGAATTATTTTTTTTATTTTCATATTATTATTAAATTTTAAATGAATATATAATTAAAAATAAATTAATAATAAGTGAAGATATTTTTTGTCATATTTATTTAAAACACCCAAGCTTAATTGATGTAAAATTTCATTAAGCACCATTCTTTAACTCCTTTACTTCAAAATGGTCACATATGAGCCATTTGAACTAAGTCCCCTAAATGGCATTTAACTTTCTCAAATTTTTATTTCCAGAAAAATAAAGAAAAACTCAAAATGTTTAATCAATGTTAAGTTTTTGAAACTCTTCACTCAAATTTTAAAAATTATAAATAATTATAATTCAATAAATTGTTTTAGATATATGACAAAAGCATTACATTTAATAATATAAACTTACAAAAAAAATGAATATAAAGTTGGCAGAAAACAAGGCCTCGTCCACAACTCTTCACTATTACATTCAATAATTACTATAACTCTCGTTATTCCGTGAAGAAAGGTTGTTGTTCTCTCCCAAGTTTCTTTGTTTGTTACTGAATTGCACTTTTGTTTGGGACATGGTACAAATAAGGCCCAACCCAAATACAAAATACTTCATAGAGATGAAAGAAGAGGTGTCATTGTCCATGGGTGAGTTTGGGCCTTCAAATGGACCTGAGCTTTTCAAAGCTAAACCCAACCCATCGAGCTTTATCAATAAAGCAATTAAAAATATATCTATTTTCGTGTTTTGAAACTCGTCTCATATATTAGAACTACATTCAAATAACAACTATATTATTTATTCAAAGATGATAAATATTTCAGAACCAATGGTACTAGGATTTAAAAATCTTAGCATCAGTTTGACCAAAAACTAATTGAACTCTCTAATCAATATATTTTAACAAAATCATTCATATTTTCTCAAGTTATAAATTGTTTTAATGAGTTAAGAAGGTTGTAATGCAACATGTTCATTAGGTTATATTTAAAGATATTAATATAAATATTGAATGAATGCATGATATTAATAACTCTATAAATCCATTTACGAAATTTAAAAACTTCAAACCTTGTGTGAAGAATAAAAATTTTATGATAATGCTATCATCTGATATCTCCACTAAAAATGAATGGTGCTTGTCTACAAGTTTTCTGTCTGGTCTTGTATATATTTGATAGCCGATAGCCCCACAATCTGCTGGTTGGAATAAGCTGCCTGATTAATGAATACAGCTAGCGCTTTATCCTCTTACAAAGTGCATGCCCAGTTGTAAGCGGGTGGGTGTGGTGGGGTTTCATCACTGATATTTTGGCCGTTAATTTTGGCATTAATCGCAACAAGTAACTACTGCATTCAGCTTCCAGCTATGAAGAAGGAGATTTTGCCCTACAACAAGCATCACTGAGAAAATTGTCTTTTCTAGTATGAGTAACAGCCAAATTTAGAACCATCGATCGAGAGAGACGATCCAAGAGAGAATGCCCTAACCTGTAGCTGTAGTTGACACCAAACTCCCATTACCCTTGTCTGCTCTTTCCTCATCCCTATTAGTCATTGACATATAGCTTAAGTTCTCTGATACCATAAAGAATTCGAATATAATTATTTGGATGTTTTATTGATAAAGCACATAACGTTTAAATACAGGTTAAAATATTAATATAAAAAAAATATTTACAATGAATTGTTATTTAAAGTAAAGGTATTATTTATACCATAAACTAAGGAATTAAAAATCAATCTAGCCTACAATTAAGGAGAATAAGATCACTGAGTCAAACTTCCTGCATGAATGAATTAGGAAGCTTTGGGTGTATCTAGAAACCGTGAAGCTAGCCTAATTGATTGTCAAGCTCCCCCTGCAACTCGACCACATCCATAGAACCACCTTGCTGGCTCTCCCTGTTTTTTTGTTTAAATTATTGTTTAAAGAAGCAGGCAAGCCTGCTACAAAAAGTACAAATTAACTGCACAAAGCAACAGCATTGTTTGTGAACAAAGAATAACAAACCAATAAAAAGAAACAACTATAGTGACATGCATATCTTCCTCTAGCACCTGGTCAAGCCTACTTCTAATAACTGCCTTGATGCGATTTAGAATGACAGAACTAGAATTGCATCTCCTCTCCTTCCATGAAATTTGTTGTTTCGTTCCATCCAAATAAAGATAAGCACTCCAAGTAAGCCTTAAGTATGACCGCAATCAAAGCTTTTTCCTCTGCTGAGTCGAGCTGAGTTCATTCAGCCAATTTCCTACCTGTTTTTGAATGCCACATATCATAATCCTTTTGCTCGTTGAAGAGATACGGGGAAAAAAATTAGAAAGGAGGATTGGGTTGAGTTTAATGAAAAATCACTCAAACTAATATAAATTAGTTTAGAATATACCAAGGTTGTGTTTAATAAAAAAAAATTAGATTATATATATAAATTGAAAAAACCGAATCAGTATGACACTAACTCAACTAAAGTCTTCATTCGTATTTATATATTAGTTTAGTATACACTCTTTCATTGCACGTTTATAGGTTCTAGATATAAAACGTATTGATCATTTTTTTTTTTTTGAAAAGCTAAAACATGTTGATCATTAATGGTATATATGCCAACTTAAGGATCACGCGTGATTCACGATGTGATGAATCAATAATATATATATATAGTAATCAGTTGTGTAGAGAACTGGAATCAAGTTTGCATTCTCATCTCTTTTTTATGATAAGTTAAACAAAAAAAAGAATATCTCAACGAATTAAACAGTAAAGTGTCAAAAGTAGCCTTATACACCCTTGATTGACGAGTTATATATATCTATTATCTAGAAGAAAACCAATGAGGATGGGATTCCTACGTATCCACGCAAACACCCAAGAAAAATAGAAAATTCACACGATAAGCCATATTCTTCTTTTCCCTTTTTAGTTTTGGTTGTTCTCCAAATCCTAGTATATAAACAGGACTTTGTTTTCCTTCAACATAATAACTCACCTTAATTTCCATTTTCTGAAATCATGGCTGTCTTGTTGGTGGCGATGGTATTAAGCTTATTGGGCAGAGAAGTTCTTGGGGATGTTGGAACTGCCGCATCCTATGATCCTCCCTACATACGTGAGTAAATCCTACCTTTTCCCTTGTATTTAGAGTATGCTACCACCGTATATAATTGAAGCCTGAATGCAAAACATGTCAGAACTTACAGTTATCAACTAATGGTGAGGTTTAGGTTTAGCTGTCAAAGCTTAACTTAGGTGGTAAAAGAGAGACAAGATATGAATAAAATTCCTAAATTCGAATCCAAATGCTATTTTTGGCACCATAGAAGGTGGACTCTGTAGTACAGAACTAGCTTTCTAATGGTAACAACATATGAAGGAAATTAAGATTTTGCAAGCATTTTTCATTTATCATTAATTTATTTTTATTACCATTATTATTTTTAGTTTGAGAAAAGAGTATTCAAACTTAAAACTCTTTTGAGCATGGAATATATGCAACTACTATTAAATCAAATATTTGGATGCATCATTAATTTATTAGTAGTATATGAATTATTGGTCACGTTGCAAAATTGTAAAGGCCAATGCAGCACTGTGAAATTTACGTTTGTCTCAACTTTCTGATTTTTTTTTTTTTTTGCTTCCCCTTTAACCTCAATTTTTTTTTTATTCAGCTACCAAGTGCAATGGTAATAGTGAAGAACAATTTCCACCAGGAAATTTGTTTGTCGCTGTGAGT